GTATGGGGTAAACAGTAAGGGTGGGTAGTGACAGAGGTATTCATGCAGCAGCGAAGCTCAAGCATTGTATTATTGGTATGGTTGTGAAAGCACATGACTACCATCTCAGCCGAGAATGATTGCATGAGTACATTCACAGATGATTATTAACTTAATCCAGGAGCTCTGTGCATGATCCAACAGCAGGGACTTACCACGAAACACCTGCAGCATATCTTCTTGGTCAGGATCATCAGTGTTAATGATCACCTGCCTCCGCTGCTGGGTCCCAAAATCTGACAGCAAAATGCCTGTCTTCCTGCCCGACTTGTCACGCTCCGGGATGAAGTTGCCCTCCTCATCTCGCGGGATGTCCTGAAAGACAGCAGCAGCATTCTGCTGTGTGAAGAGTATAGCCTTCTCCACCTCATCTGATGGTACGTTCTTCCTGTTCCTGAGATCGTTGACTTGCAGGATGGCGAGACCGTGCTTCTCCAAAGCTGCTGGTACATCCTCAGCTTTGTCAACACTGAAGACAGAGTTCTCAATAGTGATGTACTGCATTATTGGGTCACACAGCCAGGCATGTACATACGATTACATGCTGCATACCATTCATCAAAGTTTATTAGGCAGCAGGCCACATACTAACGGTCAATGGAGTTGCCTGCTCTGTTTAGTCATTCCAGGTAGATGGGTGCTGTACAGACAATTAATTCCTACTAAACATGCGTGTTTACGTGAGCATGTTTAGTATGAAGTACTTGTAACTGAAACTTTACGGAGCCTGTGCACACATATTACTGGGTGCAAGGTACAGACAAATGAACTACTTCATAAAGTAAAATTAAGGACTAGCTTACAGTACTGGCACCCACCTCATCATCCATGCTGTCATCTTCCATGCTGTCATCGTTCATCCTGGCCACCTTCTCAGCAGCCTCCAGCACGGTTGCATGCTGCCGCTTGCGCTTCCTGCTCTTGTTGCCGCCAGCTGGCCCCGCCAACTCAGCAGCCAGTGCAGGGAACAAGTCCTGCAGATATGACAGTAATAGTAATACTAGTATTCAATTGGCTTAACTGTAAACACTAGGGCCCATCCCACATATTCTCAAAAGTGTCCAACATCTTGGAAGCATGCATGGGATCACCCACCTTCCCTTTTGGGGGACGGCATCCATCCTTGCCCTCCAGTCCTGACCGGGCCAACGCCCGGGTCATGACCTGCCGTCGAAGCTGCAAGGATGAGGCCCCTGCCTTCTCGAACTCAGCTCCAGGACCACCAGGTATTGAGGGCTGGCCCCGATCCATGGCCGGCCCACCTGTAGTGATCGGTGCTGTGTTGTCAGCAGAGGCACCCACCATGAAGGTAGACACCTTCTGGCAGCTGAGACGGGCAGCTGAGCCACTTGCTGCTTCCTGTGTGTCAGTGTGAGTTATTAGGCACTGTTAGACTACTATGTCTTTGTAGGGCCTGCATATGCATGTGAGTGCACAATTCCGGAGTGAGGCAACCAAAAAGTAACCTCATGCTTGCCCACATGTGTCCACCATACAACCCTTACACAGCAAATCCCAAACCCTGCACCTCTGAAAGCCCTGGCCCCTCAACCCCCCTAACCCCCAAAACCCAATCATCTTCACATAAGGAAGCCTCTGTTGCAAACTGCAGCCCTCTCCATACCTCAGTTGGAGTGGCATCCACTGGATTGAACACCTCCCCCTCTGTCACACCGCCGGCATCAGCAGCTGCCACTGCAGCTCCTCCAGTTCCCAGGCTTGCTGATTGGCACAACGTCCCCAAGTTCTGCCATGCACACATGCACATGAATAGACAAGTCATGATCATCAGTGTGGCGTACCATGAGGTTTTCATTTTTGGGCTGTTGCATGCTGGGGTTTGAAGCCCATGTTGGCCCACTACAAGATCCAAGAATCATGGCAGACACATATTGGATGCATGAATGGGAGCACCTACCTTCCCCTTTGAGCCATGGCCACCATCCCTGCCATCCAGAGGCTCGGTGCTGTTTACAGCAGCAGTAGCAACCGCACCCGTGGGCTTAGCTGCTGTCATGGCTGCAGTATGTGGCTGGTTACTGGCAGCAACACAGACATCTACTGCCCCAGATGAGGTGAGTGGAGACAGTGCTGCGGCTGCTGCTGCCTGTTGCTGACTTTGAATGTCCTCCTGTCGTTTCACCTCATCAGCAGACTTGGCCAGGTTTTCCTTCTCCCTCAGGAGCCTCTGTCAGCATGGAATATGGGTGGCATTTGTGACTTACTTGTACATAACAATTACTGCATGACATAATGTTTGACCACCCTAGGTAGGGTGGTGCTGGCCCCTGGGCCTCCAGGTCACTTGGGCCCATACATGGTTGTAACAGGCACATGGGCTCTGAAGGTACCGCCAGAGTGTAATGCAACATCTTAGGAGGTAAAGCACACACAAACATACATACTCCAGCATGAGTACTCGACAAAGACCATTAGGCATGGTTGCATGCTGCCAGATGTTAAAGTAAAATGTTTCACAAGCAAATTGTCATTGCTTAACATGTCGTACCTTCAGCTCATCTATCCATGGGCGCTGGGGCCAGAAATACTTGGCTCCGTATTTGTAACCGATTTGGCCAGGCAGAGGCTTGGGTGCCTTCTCCATTTCAGCCTTCACCATCGCGATCTTCATGTCCAAGTCCATGGTTCTGTAAGACGAGCCACACGTCCGCAGCACATGCTCCTTTGCCCCATTAATCAGGTAGTCCTTGAAGATGTGCTTCTTCACCAAAGACCCTAGTGCCTGTGAAAGGCAAAATGGCTCAGCACCCTGAATGAGGGTGGGCCAACAGGGAAGATGGTAGGACCATGATGTTGTATACACTACATAGGCACTTATTGGCTAGAACCCGGCCCAAACCTAGCAACCCGTGGCGTAGCCAACACACAGCAGGCAGGGGCACTCCCTAATACTCTACATACAGGATGGGGCCCCATATCTTCTGACCGCAGCAGGGTGCATGTGCAGAACACGGGTTATTTGTGTTGCTGCCCTCGCTGCCATGCAAATGGAAGGGAGGTGCTCATTGAGGAAAGGGTTTTAGGGTTTTGCAGATGCTGACCTCCTTTTTGTAGACGATGTCCCAGATGTCAACCGCCTTGGAGGACACAGGCCCCTCAGCCGTCATGTCCCTGTACTCTAATTGTTCGCCAATGGGATGAAGCGCAATACAGTAGGCGTATTTCCAGCTTAGATATTTGATGTTTAGTTGTGCCGACCTGGCCTCTTGAATACAGTCATAAAGGCGCACTAAGACTTCGCCGCTGGACATATTGCGATAATGATTTAAACCGTATGTTAGCTCAAGGATCTAACACGGCTGGTATGAGTTACCGAATGCTGCCGGCGTTGAGTGGCAACGTGCACGTGCGCATCACAGCTGACGACAAATTGCCTGGTAGTCTTACGCATACAGACTGTACAATGAATTCTTATTCTTATTTGTTTGGTATCATGTGGGCTAGCATGCTGCAGTAAGTGTGTACGGCAACCATCAATTCGAACGTGGTGGAATCCTTACACGGCGAAGGTCATAGTATAAATAGAAATAACACTTTTTTATAACAAGTTTGGACATTCTGGTGTCATATGAACGGTGGTAAGGATGTACGGTGTAACTACCATCGCCATTGCGAACATACGTTGGTAAAAAGGAAGGTACTGATTGGCATACACCGCCAAACTATAATGCATCTGCAAATCTAATACAAGTTTGTATAATTTTGCTGAATGGCCCCATCACGACCTCCCCCACCAGGCGACGGTTATGTGGGTTGCCTAACTCCACAAACAAAATCATGCCATAACTGGTCAATACTTATATTTGCCTTAGTTATAGCATCACTGCTTCCCTTAACCTGGTTTATGGCTCCACCAAGCGAGAAGGGCCGTGCCTATTGCTTGTGCCAGCTGTGTGTCCCAAACATTTTGGAAAGTGCTGGTGACCCAGTAGTTCTTTCTATGCGGATGGTGTATCATCATCATAGCCAAGATGCCTTTCCTGTTCAGAAGACCAAGCAACGGAGAGAGCCACACTTCTTGCCTGTGGGTACACCTGTGGTGGAAGTCCGGGACACTGCTCAACGGCTGAAGGATTCTCTTCCGCGTGTACAGCAGCCACCCTGCAAGCTGCTGGGTCAGACACTCAACAAGCACATAGGAAGTGCAATTAACCAGGCAGGCAGTACATCTCCAGCTGCTGGTCCCAGTTCCGGTGGTGCTGCAGCAGCTCAGGATAATGAGAAGCCCAATAATAATGCTTGTATACAGACATATCCCTTACCTCCACCACCTCAAGGCCACATTGCATCACCGGCAGATCCTCTGCCAGCACAAAATGATGCGGGAGAAGTTGCAGCCATTGAGGACGCATTTCCAGCCCCTCAAAAGCCTGGCGATGGTGACGGAGGAATTCGCATGCGGTGCTTTGGAACATGGACTCCAAGTGGAGCACGCCAGGGTGAATGGAGGAGTTGCAACAGTGATCCCTCTGTAGAACCGCTGCTTCAAGGCATGGAGCAAGATGTACTGAATGCGGTTCTCCATCGGTTTAAGCATAATGCATCTGGTGAAGCTGTTATTGATCACCTTAGGTTAGTGATGACTCGAAGTGGTGCATCCTACCCAGTTCCCGAGCAGCTACGGCCCAAGGAGTATCGACAGTGCCTCACATTCCTGGAGCAACGTGGTATCCTGGAGGGGAAGCCATTTGTTGGATATGACCTGTGCCCTTGCGGATTCCTGTACCGTTGTACTGATAAGGGGCGGACTTCATGTACATGCTGCAACAGACCTCGCAATGAATCACTCAAGCTCCTGTATAGGTGTGTATAATAAATGGAATGTCGACTTCATGCCAGTGTCATGTCTGTTTGTGGTTCTGACACGGATAATCTACCTTCTTTACAGGCCCATTTCCGACTGGTTAACATCTCACCTTGAGGATCCAGCAACTTTTCAAATGCTTCAGCATGGCAACCTGACTCAGCAGCAACGGGGCTCTGTGCCAGGTTTTGCTTGTGACATTTTGGACACCCTCCCTGGTTTGGGAGACAATCATCATACAGACAGTATGACGCTGCACGTTGGAGTGCACACCGATGGTGTAAATCCCTTCAAGTTTAAGTCATCATACTCAATGTGGCCACTGGTTTTAACTCTGTACAACATAAGCCCTGACTACAGGTATGTGCATGTCTGCTGACCACCACCTCTTTATTCACTTGTGATGCTGAACTGCTATCCTTGTCATCATCGTCTGTGTGTAGGTATCGTCCAGGCCTGATTGGTTTGTGTGGCATTATTCCTGGCAAGCGTGATGAAAGCGGCCGTGGAGGTTCAGTACCTATCCATGATGTCCTTGCATTGCTGGCTGAGGAGCTAACGATGCTAAACACGGAAGGGCTGCCCTATACACATCCAGTGAATGGGATGCCTGCAGTCGCTAAAGTTCAATTACAAGTGCTTGGTGGTGATTACCGTGCAGTCGAGAAGGTCGTAGGTATCACTGGTGCACCCACATCTGTGTACAGCTGCTTCAAGTGCTGGCACCCAGGGACTTGGGGTCCCAGCAAGTACCTGTACGGGCAGTTTTTTCGCTATCTGAGCAAAGCTTCCCCATTGCGAAGGCTGTCAGCTGACCTCAATAATGCCATTAAGTGGTCATGGAGAAAGGTCCCCGGTGCTGCATCGATGACAGGACCAAGGAAGTTCGATGTTGACGACAGTACCATCGTACGTGCTGCTTGGAACTCACAGGCCCTGTATGCACCAGAGCGTACACAGGAAGACCTGGTCCGGCAAATCAAGGTACTGGTTATGTTTCTATGTCTGTTGCGAGTATGTGGAGGCAACAAGACCCCTTACTATGTGATGCTGGCAGAGGAGTAGTTTGGGCACCATATGCAATAAACTTGTTTGTGCTGTACAGTAGTGGAGTTCATGCATGCACTGTGTTTCGTTCTGTCAGAACCGAACACATACACACAAAAAAAGGTAGTACTCATTGATCATGTAACACCCTAAACTCAACAGCATGCTGTTGTGCAACCTTAACACGCAACATTTGCCCTCAACTGCTGTCCAATCTCATGCATGCATGCATGCTTGTCAGGTACCAGAGGTCAGGGTTGATGATCACACTGATGCTGGCCCTGAGCTCACGACTTCAGCACAGGGAAGTTTATCAGACATCAGTTCGGAATACTTCCCAGATGATGATGATGATGACGATGACGATGACGTTGATGATGATGATGACTTTCAGTCTGCAGACGTAGATGACAGTGATGTTCACAGTGATGTGGACGATGATTTATTTCATGGCATCCCACCTAATGTTGAAGATGCAGAGATGCAGCAGCCAAACCGGTCCTGGCGTGACAGGTTGCTTACATCGGTTCCTGGATTCTCAACTAGGAGAGGCCTGCAGTACGATCCCATGCATACAATCGGCCAATTTATTGCTCAGCTGTTTGACCTCATCTTGACCTCCTCAAGAGTTACTGACCGCATTAAAGGGTAAGATTGGTTGCAGAAGTGCAGTTCACAATTGTCTTACCTGCCAGAGTCCTATGACAATTACCTTTCACCATACATCTGTGTTCACAAACGCAGGTATGAAGTCGGTATAAACAGCAGGACTCTGGAGCCTTGTGTAGTTAGCAAGGATGACCAGATCACAATGCAGGCCATTACCAGAAAAATCTCCAAGGATGTTCCCAAAGCTGATGGTGGTGGTCCAAGGCTTGCTGGAACAATTGGAGGATCAGGGGTGAAAATGTCTGTTTGGTGTTTCTGGGCCAGTCCATATGGTGCTTATCTACTTGAACATGCCAAGTCACTCAGACCTATACACCGCATGGTGCTGCAGCAGATTCTTTGTTCGGTGTCATACCTTCTGGATGATGCAATCCCCCTTTGCACCCAAGAAGAGCTATTAGATGCCGTGGCACATGCTCTGTCCCTAATGGAGATCTATTTCCCAAGTACAGAGTTGGACATTAAGGCCCATAATTTACTGCACCTCGTCGAACGTCTTTTCACCCTTGGTCCTTCGTATACAACGGCGATGTGGGGCTATGAAGCACTCATGGGGCGGCTAGTGAAGTTGGTCAAAAAGGTATGTTGCGGTTCATAATGAATGGCCATACTGCCGTCCCTTTTCCTTGCTAGCCATGTGCATGCTGTGGGTGTATCATGATCACCCTCATTTCCCTCCCACGTCTGTCACCCTGATTACCCAGGAAGTTGTGTACCTTTATATGTGCTTAAAAGTGTCTGCCTCTATGTGTACACATGTGCAAGATACCGTTTCCAGCAATCATTTCGTCTGCTGTCACCATGCATGCTTTTTGAATATCATTCATCGCACACTCTGCACGATTTGCTTTCCCACTCCATCCCAGACAGATTCACCAGAAGTCACAGTTATGCGGTCTTGGTATATTATTGAACGAGCACTCAAGTATGCTTACCGTAACCAAAGCACAGTCATGCTAGATGGTATCCTTCCCAAGGGAGTAGCAGTTACTAAGGAGATACACAGCTACTGGACCTGGCGCAATGAAAAGGCTCCCTCAGTTGAGCCTTTGCGCATCGATGGAGCTGGTGGACTTAGGCTCCTGGCATCCTTATCATCTGTCCAACGCTCCCAGCTACATGAAATGTACATTCAACATGACCCAAGATACAAGGAACTGTGGGCTGCATTTCTGGAGTGGCTATGGGCTCAGTGGCCTGACCATGATACCAGTGCTGGGGTAAGTCATGGGTGGGTTGTATGTCCAACCGTTCTTACCTGCTGAGCCGGATGTATTGATTACCATCCTTCCAAAATGTGCCAATGTTGATTCCAGTCCGTATGCAAGGAAGTGCAAGGTGCGCTTGCAAGTGTGAAGGTGGATGGCAATTCTCCAAGATGTAAAGTCCTGACACGCGACCGAATCTCTCAAGCAGTGGACTTCAAATCCTTGGTAGGATGGGCTGAGCTGTGCATGGGTACGTATGTCTGGTTGAAATGAGCATCATGGTGTACTTACCGAACGTCGGCAAATGATATTACGCCTTGCAGGCCATCCAGGACTCGGTACTAAGGAACTTGTGGCCGTTGGAAATCTGGCGCACTAGTGATGCACTCAAGGAGCCATACAAATTTGATGTACCACCAAGCTTCAGTGAGCGTCTTGCAGGTGTACGCTTAAATGACTGTATCGACATCAAAGCTGTGTACCGGCGTAGCAAGGATAACTCCCATCCAAATGATGTGCATACATGGTTCATGTGCAGGAAGTGTGCCGCTGTGCCAGAAATTGGATGGTGGGTTGGAAAGGTTGCAAAGGCATGGCGCCTGTCATCCTACCGTACTGATCAAATTGATGATGTGGTGCTGGAGGTTTCTGAGTGGTATGAGCCATCCTTGCCTCTCCTTGATGATTACATGAATGTGCCAGTCCTGCGAATGTCAAAATCGAACCCTTTTTACTTGGCTAAGGATGTAGCTCCAGTTTGTGTTACCCTTCAGCAGCACCCTACAAAGCCACGAGCCTACTGCTTATTGTGCCGAAGCTACAATGCCATGAGTGTGCAGGATGGGGAGAGCATGCACCTATGCCCCT